GTTTAAAACAAAGCCACGTATCTGCATCTTTGTTTTAAACCATAATCTAAAGTGAGGCAGCAGCACAGTAGATCTGCACATGGATCCTGCTGCTTCCTGTCTGTTCACCAATAGGAGAGGAGCTGACCCAAGAAGCCCCACCCACCTTATTTGCATAATGAAGCAGGAACGCACAAAGTAAAGCAAAAACAGGAGACAGACAAATGTAAAAACATCACATGGAAATAAAAAGACTTGTGGGAAAAATTATTTACAAAATGAATAAATATAAATATTTAAGGGACACAAATGCATGCAGGAAAAGGAAAAGGAAAAACTAAAAACATTTATTTTTAAAAACAGTAAAATGTAAAATATGTTCTAAATATATATAATTTATTGGAACTAAGCTGGAAAAAGAAATGTGAAGGTCAGATATATTACAAAACATGAGGTAAAGTTGTTTTATTTATGTATTTATTGGTCCATTTACATATTTCTGCTTTTATTTCTTATTATGTCAGTTTCAGTCCTCCAAAGTCAGAACAATTTTACAAGTTGAACTTAATTTATCTGAAGTATTTAGTGTAAAATGTTACTTAGAAATAAAGTCCATTAATCAACGTTCTGACAGAACATTCTGAAATAAACGGCTCTCATTTGCTCAAAAACTGAACAGACAAGCGACCAACAGAAATCAGAGAGAAAAGACGTGAAATCAAACAGAAACAAACGTTTTTTTGTGTGTTTTCTGTTATAATGAGCTTTTCAGGTTATCAGTGGTTTATCTTAATCACATCCTGTTTGTACTTTTGTGTTTCTCTGACAGAACCGGGCTGTTTAACAAATGTTCATTAAAGCTTCTCTCTGTTGTGTCCTCAGCAGGAAAACAGCTTTTAATAATCTCCGCTGAGCAGAATGAAAGAGATAAAATGTTCCTGCTGTTCTGAATGTTAAACTGGACTCTGATCGCTGTACAGGTCGGCCGGAAGGGGGCGATGTTTGGGATTACATCACTAATCTTGGGTTTTATAGTCATGGCAGTGGTCAGATCCATCAGTCTTCTACAGATCTAAACATCATTCCACAGAGACGGCATTCTGCTTGTTCTGAAACGGGTCTAAATGAACCTGTGAGGTGCAGCAGAACCATCTTCCTTTAGTCAACACAGCGTTTAAAACAGATTCTCAGTACCTCAAAAAGTTGTTTTACAGTGAATGTAAGTAAAATTTATAATTATATTTAAATAAATTAACGCAGTGTTTTCATCAGTGAAACAGTTTCTGAAATGATTGATAATAGCGGTTGGTGTTCCTCAAGGTCCTGTTTTGGGAACTTTTAGTTTGTAAATAACTTTTCTGAAGACAGATGTTTGCTGACGATGCAGAAAGAACCAGAAAAAGAGGAACCAACGGTTTTATTGGTCCAGATCTCAGACTGGCTCTGTTCTGACCGCTCTTATCTCTCAGTTCAGATCTTTTTGTTTTCAGAGACCGGGTCAAGGCTCATCTTCCACGGCTCCAGGAACGTTTTTAATGGCAGATTGTTTCAGTGCTTACGTACACGTTTAGTTTTGTTTCTTAATATTGTTTTTGTGTTTGTTGTTAAGTTTATTTTTTTTATTTTATTACTGAGTTTTGTGCTTTTAGGGTATAGTTACTGTTCTCTAAAAAGAACTATTCCTGGTTAGGAAGTATTTAGTTACTGGTTCCTGTTAGTTCACAACAAACGTGTGCCCCTAGTTTGTAAGGGCTACCTAAAGATCTTCTGATTTAGTGAATTAATTAATTTATTTTACTTTTGTTTGTGTTTTTGTCACAGCTCAGCTCATGTCATTCTCTCAACATGTTCTGAATTTACCTGAGTTAGCAACAACCATCTGCTCATGATCACATTTGCTTCCTCTCATTCTAGTTTGATCATTTTTATTTTTTTAGATTCTTGTTTTCTTTGTTTTAATGTTTTAGAATGTTCAGATTTTTTATTTTCTTATTTAAAATTGTCACTTGTCTGCTTTGATAAAATGTTCAGTCCTTCATAAAGTGGACTGATAGAAAAACAGCAGCAGTGTGAATTATTTAATCAAATAAATTAAGTATATTTTTAAAAGTATTTTTTGATAGAATGATTCAAAATGTGGACATTTTGTAACTGAACTGCTTTAGCTCTTCATAAATGTTTAGCAGATGTTCTTTTATAAAACAGTTACAGTTTCTGTTTCCAGGAATTAGACCGGCCCCACCTTAAAACGAAGAGACAGTCAGTCAGAGTGACTTTATTCACTGTGAAGATATTACAGTCATTAAAACATGATTTACATTAAAAACAAATGAGTGGAGCTGATTGGACGTCAGCGTTTGATTGACAGCTTTATAAATGCGATGTCGTTTTTTGCTGATTAAAAAAGAGACAGTGTTTTCTTTTAGCGTGGGACCACCACATGCACTGAAGACGATGAGACAACATTCATCGATACAAAAACAATCTGATATAAATACAATATTTATATTCTGTATGATACAAAACCTGGTCACCACGGTGACGGGCAGGGGCGTGTCTCAAACCACAGTGACGTACAAACACTCGGCTACACGTCTGGCAAAAATCACAAAAACCCACAAGGAAACACGGGACGAGTCTTCGTTACCGGGGTGGGGCGGGGCTAAGATCAAGACTCAACAAGAAGACGGACGTCACAGCAGCGAATCGGATGCAGGAGTAGTTTTACAGTGCAGGCATTAAAACAGACAGACAGACAAACAGGGCGGGGCTAAAGCAAAAAAGGGGCGGGTTTATAAGAAGAAAAGTTTTTTTGTTTCGTTTTTTTTTTACACTGTGCTTTACGAGTTCCTGTGCTCAGTTTAAGAAGTGATTAAAGGCCTCAAATGATTCTGAACACAGAAGACGTTAAGGTCTGACGTCACAAACAGGAAGTTTTTAAACTAAAACACCCCTCCAAAATAAAAACAGCTCAAACTTAATTAAATCTGTTTCTTGTGGCTTCAAATAAATAAATAAATAAATAAATAAATAAATAAATAAATAAATAAATAAATAATTTCCGCTGAACAGCAAATCCAAACGAAAGTTGTGACATCTGATAGAATTTTTTTTTTTTTATCATTTGTGGCCTTTAATGTCTATAATCCTCATATTTTCGTTTTCTCAGTAAAACATCACATGTACAGGAAGTGATGTCACACCACAAGTGTGATGTCATCGTTTTACATCGACAGTGAAACATCCGAGCTGAAAGCACCTGCTGAGCAAAAAGTCATTTTTTTCCTTTACAAATGCTTCGTCCAATCACGCGACAGTATTCACTCTGCCTGAAAGGTCAGCTGATCCCTGAGGTCCCGCCTCCAGCAGCCACAGGCCCCTCCCCCTCCGAGGTGATTGGTGCTCAAGGCTGAGGGGGAGAGGAGAGAAGGGGAGGAAGGGGGAGGAGAATTATCTACATGGGAGGAACAACGAGGCCCGACATGGCTGCAGGAAAACAGAGAAGAAGAAGAAAACCGTCATAATATGTCGTGGACAGCACTCCTAATGAGACAGGCAGACACAAAGTAAGCCTGAGACATGCAGTCTGTGTGAAAACTATCTCTTTTTCTTCTGTAGAAGCTTTTATTAAAACTCACTCACACACACACACACACACACACACACACACACACACACACACACACACACACACAC